AAGAGGACCCAGGATAGAAACTTGGGACACCCCACAGTTAGAAGGCATAGTAAAGGAAACTAAGAAGGAACAGACAGGTAGGAGGAGAACAGTAGAGAGCAGTGTCATGAAAGTCCAGAAAGGAGAGAGTAACCAGGAGGGGATTGACATTGCCAAATGCTTTAGAAAGGACTAGAAGAATAAGGATTGAAATGAGATCATCAGATTTGACAGCTAAAAAATTATTGGTAACTTTGGACAGAACATTTTCAGTTGGGTGATAAAATCAGAAATCAGATCGCAAGAAGTTGAGGAGTATCTTAGAGAGGAATATTAGAGACATTTCACTCCTGCCTGCTCTTCCTTTCTAGTTCAGTTCTGGGTCCATCAGACTCATACGAAAGTGGAGGTGGGTGGGGAGGTAGGAGAGGCACTTTTGGAGATAGGGTCTTTAAAAAGTCTAGCCCACCAAGATGAAAAAGAGATTCACCCCAAATAATTAGAGGAATTTTAAAAAATAGCTTTTGGCTTTTTGCTGTTCTTGTATCTCTAAGGAATTAGATTATGGGCAAAGGTAATTAGCTCCTGATGGACTAGTGAGAATAGTGGGAGTTCTGTCTTCCCTGTTCACTATTGACTTTCTTTTCTTCCCATAGGATGTCAGAGAAGTACTGCATAGGTATGTGTTGTATTTTGCTTCTGTTAAAAGGGTGGGTGGGTGGGAGGGAGGGTGGGAGAATGCTCATTGGCTGAGCCAGGTGGGACCTGTGCTCACCCTAGGAGTCAGGATGTGAAGTTGCAGCTGCCAGAGGTCGTTTCCATGGAGCTGAGGACGGTATGCAGGGTTCCTGGGCTGGTAGAGATGCTGAGGAGATTCAGAGGTAAGTGGGACCCTGAATTAACCAGATGTTTTTAGGCCCATTAACCTACTTGCACCTGTAAACACACACATTTCCTTGAACCTAACAGAAGTATGTGGAAAGAAGTGACTGATTTCCATTAGGCTCAAGCTTATTGCCTGATTTTCTGGTCTGTTTATCCTCATACTTCTACTGGGTCCATATAGAACATCCTGTGGGCATGAGTACAAGTTCACCTGCTGAGCTACCAGTCAAAAAGTGTAGGCAGGTGACTCACCCCTCAGTTTTGTACATCTTTAATTCAGCAGATATTTTTTAAGCCCCTGCTTTGTGGGTATTATGCTAGGCACTGGGGTGGGCAGAATACGGAGAAACATATGACAGCATATAACCCTTCCTATGGAGCTTATAGTTTAGGAGGGAAGAGAAGACATGTACATACTGTAATGGAAGGGTTTCACATGAAAGTCTCATGAATGTTAGGGCAAGGGTGGGAAAGATCACTTGTTTCTTGTTTTTCCTTAAACCTGGAAATTTGCTCATGTGCATTTGCTGAATTTCTACCCATCTTTTAAAGCCCAACTCTCCAATGCCACTATTCTATAGAAGTCTTTTCTGATCTTTCAAGTCAGTGATGACCTTTCTACCTTCAGAGTTCACAAAGTACTTGTGTTGTACCTTTCTAATGCACTTATGTTATTTTTGTATTATCATTATATATACATCATTTTCTTCTCCTAGACTGTAAGTTTAATAAGGGCAGGAACTATGTCTTAGCCAAACTTTATATATCAGTACCTAGCACAATAATAGGTACACAGCACCGTAGTATGTTCTTAACTAATTTTATTTTAATAGGGGCAAACATGTTTAATCTTTACCCCACACTGCTGTTTCTGGTTGGAGATATCTGGAGGGAATGCTTTGGGGAAGAATTGGCTTTCATTTTGGGTCTTGAGGTTGGGTAGATATTGAGTTGGTGAGGAAGCCAGTGTTAGGTGGAGGCAGCAAGGTGGGCAAGGGTGCACAGAATTAAGACACTTAAGGCCATATTTTAGATATAAATATAGCATGAAAGCGAGTAGTGGAAGATCAGTCAGTGAGCAGTTATGAGCAATTTCTATGTGCCAGGCACTGTGCTAATAAGCATTGGGATACAAGCACAAAGAGACCACTCCTATCCTCACGAAGTTTACATTCTAATAGAAGACAACATACATAGAGTTGTGGCCATGGAAGGGAGTTTTATTCAGGACAGTCAGAGGATGGTGGGTTGATATATAGAACCATCAATTGATACGCCCTTTCTAGAAATTCTGTAGATTTGGTTACTGTGTTGCTGTTCTCAGAACATGAATAGTAAAGGGCAAAAAGGGGATTACGTGGCAGGTGAATGATGGAATGGCCTAGATGGTCAGGCTTATGGGATGTGAAGGTGAAGCGTTGTCTGAATTCTTGGGTTATCTAGATATGATCAGCTAAGTGACACTTAGTTTGAAGTCACTCATAACAAAAGTTTAGTAATAATGAGGTTTTTGGACAAGGTAATGACTTGATTCTGAGCTATACTGTAGGAAGATTATTTTAGCAGTAATATGTAGGGTGATTGCCTGTAGGAAGAAAGACTGTTGTTAGGAGGTTAATTGTAGTTAGGTTGTGGCTTTTTATCTTGACCCCTCAGGTGAGCAGAAGACCCACACTAGAGTGATGGCAGTGATAGAAAGGATATGACTTAGTCACTGGATGTGGGAGAGAAGGGACAGGGAGTAGGTTTGGGGGGAAGATTATAAGGTCAGTTTTGGATGTGTGGAATTTGATTTGTTGATCGAGGTGGAAATGTTCAGGAGAGAGTTAGAAGTGATGTGATGATCAAACTCAGGAAAGAGACTGGTAGTCATCAATATAGATGTGATATTTGAAGCAATCAGAATGGCTGAGATAACAAGCAAAAAGGGGGAAAACAGATTAAGAATAGAATAATGGGAAATTCCATCGTTTAGTGTTTAAGAAAATGAGTTAGTGAAAGACACAGGGGTCAGAGAAAAGGACCCTTAAGTGTTTAGGATCTTGGGAACCCAGGATGGAGATTAGTTAAAAGGTGGAGAAGGTCAACAGTGTCAAATGAAGCAGAGTAGATGAGAAAATAGCCTTTGGGTTTAGGAATTGGGAGGTCATGGAGTTTGAGAGAAGGGAGTGGTGACAAAAACAAGACTAAAATTGCTTGAGGAATAAATCTGTAGAGAGAAAGTAGAGAAAATAAGAGTAGATTATTCCTAAGAAGTTAGGTACTAAGAGGCAAGTGGGAGAGAAAGAAAATGAAGGTAAGAGTAGTAAGATGGAGGATTTTTTTTTTTAGACTATGGAGATTTGAAGATTTAAGGGTAAAATGGGATCAGTGGTACCAAAGAACATGGGAAGGAATGTAATTGAGAGGTTATAAAGATTATAGCATCTGGGAAAAGATTCTGAGGACACAAAGGGAGAATTAACCTTGAAAAAGAGAAGATTCACTTCTTTCTCTGAGTCAGGAGGAAAGAAGGAGATGAAAATACAGAGAAATTTTGAAGAGGAACATTGAGAAGTTTACATCTGATGACATCTTTTCTGCACTCAACTTAGAGGAAATTGCAGGGAGCAGGAAGAGGAAGGATGGAGGGAACAACAGGCACAAGCCGAGGATACAGCTCTGAAGCAGATGTTTAGGAAGAAAGAAGTGATAGTCGGAAGAGTTGGTTGATATATTTAAATGGAAGGAGAGAAGAAGCTGAGTCAGATGCCGTGATTCATTCCCTTCTTTAGGGATCTGTTTGATCATAATAACTGGGAGAAAATGTGAGAGCAAGATAGATTGGCCAATAACTGAGGAAGAAAGTAAGGGACAGAATTTCTCTACCTTAAATTATCTAGAGGGAGATACAGGATGGGGATAATCAAAGATTCTGAAGACACTTGCTGTTCATCTCCAGCCCTACAATCTTTCCTTGGTTTATGTACCTTTTAGTTGTCCTAGTTCTATGTGGTTTCACCCCCTGCAGTGGATAACTCCAAAGCCATTTTTCAGTAACATCTTACACCCAGCAGAGGGGTCTATGGTAAATAAAGCATTGAGGAAATGGAAGAAGTTACCCCATGAGGAAACAGTAAAAAATAAAATTTGAATTATTTAATCTGGGGGAAAAATGGCTTCAGAGGCTTATTTTTCTGGGATATGTGATTTTATCAGTGTGGGCATTCCTTTCAACAATGTAAATTATAATCACTCTACAACTTAAATTTTTTTTTTATCAGTTGCAGTGGCTGAAAAGTCACTGAATTGCCAGTATTACATACTTTCTTGTACTTGAATATAGTTGAACTTTTTAATGATTCCTGGGTTATATGTAAAATTATAGGTTTGGATTCCTTTGAACTCTAAAATTATGTTTCTCTAATCACTGTGAATGTCTAGTAGTGAAGTACCTAGTTCAGTGTCCCTCTCCACCTCAACTGATTCTCTTAGAGACTGAGTTAACTATATCATTGCTTGTCCCCTCGAACACAACTCCAAGTTCAGTAAGCTTCTCAATTCTTTTTGTGTGTAGCTTCTTTGGTAGAGCAATGGTACATTGATTTTGTTAGCACAGAGACTTTTTAATTTTATGTAATCAAACCCATTTTATCTTAAGTTTTTTTAAGGTAACATGTATTTTATATTAATCTGTCCCTCATTTATGCCACCCCCATAGAGAAATTAGAAAAAAAAAACAAATCTTTCAGTGTATATCTGTATAAAATTCCCACATAGGCTATGTCTGCAAATGCATTTATCTTTCTTAATTTAAGTTCATCACTACTTTCTCAGTAAGTGAGTGGTGTGTTTCATCTTCATTCTTTTGGAGTCAAAGTTTATTATTGCATTGATGAGAGTTGTCTTGTGATGTTGTTATTATTGTATAAGTTGTTTTCCTAGTACTTTTCATTTTGTTTTGTATCAGTTCATAGCCGTCTTCCCAGTTTTCACAAAAATTGTTCTTTTCATAATTTCTTATGTTCACCTACCACAATTTGTTTAGTTATTCTACATTAAGATAGTCCCTACTTTTCCAGTTCTTAGATAGCATGAAAAAACTGCAATAAATATTTTTGTACATATGGGTGCTTTTCTTCTCTCTTTGATTTCTTGGGCTCTAGGTATAGCAGTGATATAACTGAGTCAAAAGGTATACACAGTTTGATAATTTTCTGGGTATAGGACCAAATTGTTTTCTAGAATGGCTGGAATGGACTTCACAGCCTCACCACCAGTGTATGAGTTTACCTGTTTTCCCACATCTGGACATTTGTCATTTTCTTCTTTTGTCACCTTTGCTAGTTATATGTGTCAACTGGGTCTGGGTACAAATTCATTATATTTTCATTCAGAACCTTAATGATACATGGAAATACTTTTATTCTTCCCTAATTGACCTTTCTGTGACATTTTTCACATTCCAAACTTTTGCTTCCCAAACTCCCTGCAGCATTCCTCCTACCTCCTTCTTCTCCCCTACTCTACACCTCAAAAGCTTTCTACATTGTGCCCTATTTTACCCTTTGTTCCTGTCTATAATATATGGAAGAAGGGGCCATTCTATAGATTTAGAGCTAGAATGGACCTTAGAAGTTACTTAGTCCAACTCCCTCTTTTTACAGATGTGAAAATGAGGCCCAGAGAGGTTAAGAAACTTGCTCAGGGGCACACAGGTAGTAAGTGGTAGAACCAATATTGAATACAAGTCCTCTGATTTCAAAACGAGCATGCCTTCTATTAGGCCACATTACTTTCCTGTCTTCTTGCCTTTCATTTACTTGAGGATCATCCCCTCTCCCCCACTAATCCTCATTCTCTTTCCATGAGCTCCTTGCCCTTTTTCCATAAAAATCCATATCTCCCTTCTCCCCCATCCTTAAAAAGCCTTCGCTTGACCCTGACTTCTGATCCATCATTCAGCTGAAACTGCTGTCTCTGCTATCTCTCTTAGCTTCTAAATCCCCTGGCCTTTTGTTTCAGTGAGTTGAGGAACCACAAATGTGAGTTTTGCATAGTCAGTAGTCAAACATTTAAGCGCCTGCTATATGCTAGGCACTGTGCCATGTGCTGGGGATACAAATACAAAAAGAGAAAGACAGTCTCTTCCCTTAAGGACCTTACAGTCTAACTGGGGAATACAAAACACAAAAGAAAGCCGAACTCAGTGAGAAAAGCCCCAAAGTAGTGTGGTCATGTAAATGCCCGAGCTAGACACCCTCCTTAAATGATGGTTTGAAGTTCATGCCTCCACCCTCCAATTAGAGGGGCAGTGATTAGGTGGCATCCCAAGGCTAATGAGATCTCGAGGGTTCAGAAGTCCCAAGATCTTGCAGTCAGATAAGAAATTTTGTTATGATAATGTTGGTTAGTTTTTGCTTAACTGTTTTTCTTCCAAGGAAGGATTCAGTGTTGGAGGGATATGTCAGGAAATAACTATGGTTTTAAAAACAACAACAACCAAGATCCTCAAAATTAAACTTAAAAAAAAAAAAACCTTTCAGTGGCTGTAGGATAAAGTAAAAATTTCAGCCCAACATTTAAAGCCTTCCACAAACTATGTTACACTCATCTTTTCAGACTTACTCTGTAATTACCTCTCTTTCTTCTTGTTTGTGCCTCAGCCAGAAAGCAAGAAACCTAATAGCTTTTTCTGGAACTCTATATTTTAATGTCTGTCTCATGTGAATTCATTCCCTCATGTGAATGTGAATTCACTCCCTCAACATCTCCAAAATCCCAAGATTCCTTTAAGGCTCAGTTCAGGTACTGCCTTATACTTGAAGCCTTTCCTGATTCCTTGGTTGTTACTGTTTCCTTTTTCATCAATTTTTCTTGTATTCATTTATCTGTGTAGATAGTAAGCACCATAAGGGCAGAAACTAATTTGTTTTTGTCTTTTTATCTTCAGTGCCCAACACAGGCCTTCCCTATATATTGCTTTAATAAATTTTTGTCTAATTGTATTTTGAGGAGATAATGTGGAAGGACCGACATGATGCCCCATAAGACTTGAGTTTGAGTCTTAGTTCTACCTGTAAATGGGTATCATAATATCTCTCTTCCCCTTATAAAATGAAGATTATAATACCTGCACTTTTCCTACGTCATAGGGTTGTTATGAGGAAGGAGCATTATAATACTAATATCATTATTATTATCTTTTGATACCCAATAAAAGCAGAATATTGCTGAGTTGGATTCACTTAGAACCTAACTCATTTTAGCTGTTCTTATGTTCTAAGACCTCAGAATGACTCTTGGTTTCTCTCTACAGGAGATGTCACTCTGGATCCAGATACAGCAAATCCTGAATTGGTCCTCTCTGAAGATGGGAGAAGTGTGAGAAGGGGGGATGTACGGCAAGCATTGCCCGACAGCCAGGAGAGATTTGATCCTGGTCCGTGTGTGCTTGGTCGTGAAAGCTTCACTTCTGGGAGACACTATTGGGAGGTGGAGGTTGGGGAGAGGGTTAATTGGGCTCTGGGAGTTTGTAAAGAAAATGTGAACAGAAAGGAGACAGGGGAGTTGTCTGCTGGCAATGGATTCTGGATCCTTGTGTTCTTTGGAAACTATTACTATTCTCCTGACCAGACCTTCATACCGCTTAGAGAGGCTCCCCGGCGAGTGGGGATTTTTCTGGATCATGAGGCTGGACATATCTCATTTTATAGTGTAACTGATGGATCTCTCTTATTCATGTTCTCCCAGATAACCTTCTCTGGGACACTCAGACCCCTGTTCTCCCCCATATCCTGTAGCCCAATCCCTATGACCATCTGCCGGGTAATAGGAGGAGCTGAGGAATCTTTTACCTCCTGATGATTCCTCTGACATTTTGACTCAACTCATCTTTTGCAATCAGGAAGTCTTAAGTTGCCTAGGCACCTTATGGTCCCAGGGCTAGTCCTTTCCATTTGTCTCAGCAATTAATTCAAAAGGATGTGGAGACTGTAAAGAAAGAGATCCTTTTTATTTTAAGTTCATGAATATGGACTTTATACCACTGAGATAAATAGTTTGGTGCCAAAACATTAAGCTTTCCAATATTTGTATGCACCCTATCCAAACCATTGGTTTTCCCCAAGTGGTATTGAGGGAAAGATTTTTGAGCTGAGTCATTCAATCAGGATTCTAATCCTAACTTTTCTTCTACAAGGTAGCTGTGTGACTGTGGGAAAAATCATTCCATCTCTGGATTTCGTGGTGAAATTTAGACCAGATAATGTCTGAAGTCCTCACTGTCTTTATAATCTCATTTTCACACCAAATGTCAAAAGTGATCTTTAGATGCAGAGAAATCTTTAAGGTTTTAGTATGAGCATCAGTGTGATTGGGGCCTGGACTACTGAAATGTCTTTTGGGCCTAGTGCTGCTACAGAAATGCTGGGTGTCCTTGATTTTACCAAACAAGACCTGCCTGTGGAGAAAAGCCAAGGCATCTAAGCTGTATACAGACCTAAACTTTAGAGACCTGGTGTCAGCTGCTCCAGACCCAGCTTTGACATAAAATGAGTTATCTCTCCTGGCAAGTCACTTAACCTCCCTGGTACTTAGTTTCCTCACATATAATAGAAGCATTAGATTATTTCAAAGGGTACTTTCTGCTTTAGAAGTCATTCATCCCAAATAATCAAGATAAGACATAAAGCCAAAAGAGTCTTCATAAAGATAATAGCTATGTAAATGGCAATTATCTTTTTATCTAAATACTATGTAAAAGACATTTATATGGGGAATAAGTATTTATATAGTGGCTATTACGTGCCAGGCACTGTACTAAGCAGTTTACAGTTATTATTTCATTTGATTCTCTCAACAATCTTGTGATGTAGATGTTATCTCCATTTTACTGTTGAGGAAACTGAGGCACCTAATAAAGCTGGATTTGAAGTTAGGTATTCTGACTTTTGTCCCAGCACTCTATCCATTATGCCACCTACCTGCTTTATCTCCTTTATTACATTTGTTGCTCACAACCCTGTGAAGCAGGTAGTATAAAAAGTAAGGATTCTATCTCAGACTTGCTTAAGATGTCAAACTAGTTAACGCCAGAGCTGGCACTTAACCAAGGTTATCTGAATAAAAACACAGTGTTCTTTTGACTCCACTATGTCTAAAGACACAAAGACTTCAATTTAGGAAGGTATGTTAAGATAAAAGTCCCCCAAATTATGCACAGGTTGAACATAGACTTGGTCGCCAAACTCTGGCATATTATAGAAGGGATACTCCTTGAAGTGCTTATTTGGTACATTAAAGTATCAGAGGCTGGATTTGACATCAGATCTTTCTGACTCCAGGCCTGGTACTGAAAGGAAGTTATCACCGTACCACCTAGCTGTCCACTCTAAGAGACAAAACAGACTAAAAATACACATGGGAAAAAAGTATTTTAGTAAGTAGGTAGAACACAGATAGGTTGCAAAGGGCAACTAGGTTATTTAGTACACATTGCTAAATTCTGAGGTTGACATCAAGAATTGGCCTTTCCCAAACCTTGGATCATCAATGATAATTTTAGGTTGGACGGACTTTGGGTCTGACACAGGATGGATCATACTGCAAGGGAACTTAGAGGTCATTTAGTTCAGTCTCCTCATTTTATAAACAAGGCAGTGAGGCTTGGGCATTAAATTACATGCCCAAGGGGAGCAGGTGGTAAAACGGGGATGTGAACCAAAACCTTTGACTTGAAATCTAGGATTTGAAACTGTGCCACACATTTTTAGAACCTGAAGCAATCATTCAGTTCACCTAGGCTAAGCAATTGCCATGCATATGAAATTGATCTGAACCTCTGATATTTTGTGATATTGTAAAGCTATGGCAAAGATGGTGATGAATGTGCCATGGAAAAACAGGACCTGTTTTCCAGAGAACCAGTTTCAAGTCCCAATTATGCAGCTAATTGAGTCATCTTGGACAGGTCATTTCACTTCTCTGGCCTCAGTTTCCTCAATTCTAAAATGAGAGAGTTGGACTCACCGGTGTTTACTTACTCAGTTTGTGCCATGGACTGGTAAAATATCTAATTCTCTATTGCAGGTTCAAAATTATATGTGTACAACATGTATTTCAAGGTTCTGAGGCAAGTTAGAATGATTTGTTCATTTTGGTTCCTCGGTTGAACTTAGGTAGTTAAAAAAGAAGTAGTTTGCACAACTCCTTAAAAAATATAATTGGCCAAATAGAAAAGAAAGTACAAAAGCTAATTGAGGAACCATAATATCTTAGAAGTTAGAACTGGGCAAGTGGAAGCTAATGATTCTATGAGACATCAAGATCAAACAAATTCAAAAGAATGAAAAAAATAGAAGAAAATGTAAAGTACTTCATGGGAAGAACAACTGATTTGCAAAATAGATCTAGGAGAGATGAGGTCAGAATCATTGGACTACCTGGAAGCCATAATCAAAAAGAGGACCTGAACAGCATCTTTCAGGAAATTATCAAGGAAAACTTGCCATGATGTCCTGCAACCAGAGGGTAAAATAGGCATTGAAAGAATCTACTAATCACCTTAGGAAGGAGATCCCAAAGTAAAAACTCCAAGTAACATTATAGCCAAATTTCAGAACAATTAGGTCAAGGAAAAAATACTGGAAGTGGCCAGAAAAAAAAGTTCAAAATATCAGGGCACCACAATCAAGATTACATAGGACTTAGCTGCAATATTAAAAGATGGAACATGATATTCTGGAAGGCAAAGGAGCTAGGACTATAACCAAGAATCACTTACACATCAAAATTAAGCATAATACATCAAGGGAGAAAATGGTCATTTGATGAAATAGAAGGATTCCAAGTTTTCGTAAGGAGAAGACCATAATTAAACCAAAAATTTGATCTCCAAGATCCAAGAGAAGCATTAGCAGGTAAGAGAAAATGGGATTCAATAGAGCTAAATTGTTTACATCCCTACATGGGAAGATGATACTTGTGACTCTAAAAAGTCTATCACTAATAGTACTGCTGGAAGAAATATGCATAGAAAGAGGGAACGGGTATAAGGTGAATTTACAGGAATGGCAAAAAAACTAAGGGATAAGGAGTACACTGGGTGTGCAGAAGGAAGGGAGAGGTAGAATGGGGTAAATTCACATGAAGAGGTATGAAAGACGATATTACAGTGGAGGGGAAGTTGGGAGGGCGGGGGATAGGCATTGCTTGACCCTTACTCATCAGTGTTGGCTCAAAGAGGGAATGATAATCATTTGAATATAGAAAACTATTGTACTTGACAGGAAAATAGGGGAAGAGATTGAAGTAAGGGCCAGGGGTGTGGGGACTAACAAAAGGGAAGGCAGATCAGGGGAGGTAGTAGAAGCAAAACACTGGTAGGAGGGAAAGGGTGAAAGGAGAGGACAAACAGGAGGAAAGATGAGATGGAGGGAAATGCACAGTAATCATAACTGAATATGGGTGAGATGAACTCTCCCATAAAACGCAATGGAGGGGGTAAAAACCAAAATTTTAAAATATTTTCAAGAAACATACAAGCTGGAGCATAATCTGCTATGCTTCAGCTGAAGTAAAAGTAAATATAGACCTAACTGAAGAGATACATCTACCATGGACAATGAAGCAATATTAATATTAAACATGGGCCAACTGGCGCAGCATCCAAATTCTTAAAGAAGTGAGAGTTAAAGGTATAAATGTAAAATAGACAATATTGATTATATTAAAAAAAACTTGTATAAACAAAACCAGTGCAACCAAGGAGGAAGGAAAGCAGAAATCTGGGAAACTGTATAGCAAGTGTCTCTGATAAGGCCTAATTTCTCAAATTTATAAGAATATAAGCCATTCCCCAATTGGTAAATGGTAAAAAGGATATGAACAGGTAGTTTTCATATGAAATCAAAGCTATGGTCATAAGTGCTCTAAATCACTTGATAGAGAAAACAGCTCAGATACCACTTCACACCTATCATTGGCTAATATGACAAAAAAGGAAAATGATAAATGTTGGAGAGAGGATGAAGGAAAATTGGGACACTGGTTCACTTTTGGTGGAGTTGTGAACCAGTCCAACCACTCTGGAGAGCAATTTGGAACTATGCCCAAAGGGCTATAAAACC